TAATGTTTGACATCAATCAGTATAGAGTCGACTCACCCTGCTCGATCATATTTGGTCCCATAACCGGTTGCTATGAATGTCAGAGTGGAGCGGAAGTCGTTAGCTACTGCAAGGCGTCTACACCATCATCTGTAACAGTACTGTGCAACGATTACTCATTCACGATCAATTGCGACGAATCCAATCGAACAACCACAACAATACTACATTTCGATAGAGCAACTGTAGAGCAAAAATGCTATGCAATCTGCGCACAGAAAAGAGTTGAGATCGATCTAGATGGAACGCTACACTACCACGCCAAACATCTACAGAATACTCTATTCGAAATGCAATCAGAGAGTAGAAACTGGATAAATGTGATCAGCGATGTGCATATGCCAGACATGCAACCGCTTCTCAAAACGTTAAAAAAAGAATGGAAGGTAGCCGCAGCGGCCATAGCAGCAATGTCACTTGCAATAGGAATGACATATTTGTGCGGACCAGCAGCACTAATTATGCTAATCAAGGTCGCCTGGGCCATGCTTGAAATGGGCATCGCCTCTGCGATAGTGACCTCAACGTTCAAACTGCTGCTCGCTATCCTATCACCGATAAAAACTAGGATACGCGGCTAATCTTTGATGCGAATAAATGAGCAAATTGTAAACAGATAATGTATCGTATCAAGCTTACATAGATAATGGGTTATATCAAGCTAACATGTATGAAAACGCCTATACAGATAGCGGTGGTAATCAGTATGCCCGTCCTCGCCAAAATCGTCGAAGAAATGGACGTTGAACAACGCCAATCCCCCATCGTCCAGGCCCTAATGGCCATCGACACTAAGCTGGATACTATTCTGAACCTGTTCGCGGCCTTGGACGCTCGCCAGCATCGTTTGGAGGCGGCGAATCAACCGCGAACATCGTCCTGCGTATTCTGCTCCGAGGGCGAAGGCAGCCATCCGTCGGGCCGCTGTCCCAAGTATCCCGATCCCGTGTCACGCGCGGTCCAGGCTTCGCGCCTGGGCCTATGTGACCGGTGCCTGCGGAAGAGCCACGACGAACCGTGCGATACGAGCTGCAACCACTGCCGGAAGCCGCACAACACCTTGCTGTGTCCGATACGCGGCTTCCGGCACACTCCAAAACACCTACCGCAAAAAAGAAGAAAATTCTAAAAAGTATGTTTTGAGTTTTAAGTTGTTTTAAGTTTTTTATGTTTTATGTTTTAATTTCACACGTTGATTCTAATGGTTGTACGTTTATTCTTACGTTCGTAGGTGTAATCTCATGGTTGTATGTTTTCTTCCATATCTGCATTCTCTTTTCTGTATGATTTCATGCCTATATATCATATTAGAATTTTCGTGGCCCCCGGGAGTGTCGCCAAAATGGCGACCTCTTCGGCAGAAGCCCGATACGGTTGTTTGCCCAGCTCCTCTGCTATAAAAGCAGGGGGCTGGGATTGATATGTGTGTCTGTTCTGTGAGCATTGTTTTGCACCCTGTCCGGGTAAAGAGGACAATTGTTACATTTGTTATATCATGACTTATAATAAGCGGCTTAATCTGAAGTTGTGTGGAGTTTGTCCGTTACGAAATTACAGTGAGGAATGATTTACAATAATAAACAGCATGTGAGGTTGAGATAGCAAGTATGGTTCATTTTTAACTACGGCTCCCACGTTGCAGTCAACCGAACAATGATTTGAGGGACAAGCTCTGAGACAGTGAGTTTACCACGGTTCATGATAGCCAGTGCGAACCTCTGCGAAGCAGAGGTGAAGCACTGGTATTCAAATAAATCCATTCTTCTTAAATCTGAACCACCGTTTGGCACATATGAGAAGCATTCCGTACTATCATAACTTATAATAACGGGCTAAGGGTGTTTACGTGACTTTGTGTGTGTGTCTGTCTGTCTGTCTGTAACGAAATTCATACAGCGGGATCCAGCCACCATCCCGAGCCCAAACTTTACATAGCGCATGCTACCAAGGTAGAACTCCAGCATGCAAAAGCACGAACGGATTCGTCAAATGGGTCCCTCAGAATTTGCGCGCCTAACGGATCCACTTGGCTTCTGACCCGCAAAATTGGGTCCGTATCAATGTTTTTTGCAAAGCCGTGGATGTGTTTAGCAGGTTGATGTGTAAGCCATGAACTGTAGACCAAAAAGTGACCAAAGGTTTGCTACTTTACGAAAACAACGCCAAAAAGAAATGTTCTCGTAAATGGTCAATCCGCCGTGGTTTTACCTGAGCATTCGAGAAGATTTTTGCATAGAGATGTAGCTCACGATAACTATTATCCTTATGGCAACTACCAAGCCAAAAAAATTTTCAAAACCTGTCCAAATTTGCATTTGTTCTTCATTTTCCAAAGTTTCATCCACGCAAAATACCGATCTCACACGAAAAAGCTTAAGAAATGAGTAGTTGTTTACGAATCATTCGTGTAGGCGGGCATTGCGCGGTATGTTTCAATGCCATGTTATGCGGGAAGGAGTATGACATATAGATAGAAGAGCCAGTGCGAGCCTCTGCGAAGCAGAGGTGACGCACTGGTTATATATACTTCACATATGTTGTTTTCATTGAGTAATAATAAGGAATGTTCGATGACCATCCTTCTCTCATGCAGAGAGGGCTCGCTTGTATAAGATGGTGTAATTCTAGATGAGATTCGCATTTGCAAAAAGTAGCGAAACATCTCACAAAGAAGAAGCCATTTGAGCGATTTGCCCATCGCTGGTGCAGAGCTCGCGACGGCGACCTCGCAGAGTTTGAGCAATGTCGCAACGATATCCCTGCTGAGAGTCTGGCCCCCCAAAAACGGCCCGCGATTCGTCGCAGCGTCAATCCAACACATACGCGGCGTGACCACGCAGTTGGGCGAGCTTGCGCTGCGGACTCGGAACATATGTTTGGGTTGGAGATCGCGACGCGACTGGAATCCGTTATGCCTTTAGGGCCGGGCATACTTCTCGCGATTTCAGCCGCGACGCGATTTGGCAATTTGCCAGAAGTCTATAGATCCAACAGTAATAAACTGCACATGCATAGTGTGTATCACTTACGTAGATGGATAAATTGCCCTATCTTCCGTACATTTAAAATGTGCTCACAGTGAGTTATGAACATTTGGAATACTGCCAAATCGCGTCGCGACTGAAATCGCGTGAAGTATGCTGGGCCCTTTAGGCCTATCACCACCTCAGCGATCACATTCTCTGCAAATGAACAATTTCTCGCTCTAATATGCTCTTTGTATGAGCGCAGGATTTCAAAAATGTGCTTTAATATAAATAAAAGGCTTGTTTTAAGCGAAGGGAGGATGATGTGGCAACAAAATTGGTGTGTAGATGAGCAATAGAGTTGGAACCATGCAGGAAAAATTATGACAAGTTATGTGCACGGAAGCGTGGCGAACTTTTTTCGGTGTTAGGAGGCTTTCGAGGCACATAAAGAGTCACCTCAGGTGGCTCAGAGCATGCAAAGTCATACATTTCACTTTCTTCACATAACTATTTCACAATTTTTTCGTGATTTTGACCTACATCCGAACCCTACAAACAAGTTCTGAGCCTCCCCAATCCCCCTTCTTCCGACCTAGTTATAGACCTCCAATAAATTTGAATGGCAGCAAGCCTGCTTTGGCAGCCGCCATACTTGATCCGCTTAATCCACTTGATCCGCTTGATCCGCTTCATCATTGGTTAATTCAGTGAACTGACCAACAGTGAAGTGGATGAAGTGAATCAAGCGGATCAAGCGGACAACCGCTTCGCTATTGCTCAATTCACTGAACCGACCAATGACGAAGCGGATCAAGCGGATCAAGTGGATTAAGCGGATCAAGTATGGCGGGTGCCTTTAAGGCACGATGGGCGCGCTGGACACAGCGTGCCGCTAAGTCAAAAAACACGAGCATCATTGTGTTGTTTATTGTCTCTTTAGTATTGTTTCTGTATCCTTCTTTTCCTATTTTTCCTTTGTTATTTATGTTTGTTCTTAATAAGTTCTTTCGCATCATAAGCAAAGTCGTAATCTTCTTGCAAAGTCAACCTGGTGTTTGTTTCCGAAAATTGTTAGAGCCACCTGGTGCAAAAACCTAGATGTGCCTATGGCAATCACAGCACCTTTCGCGCTCTTACAAAATCTCTTGAACGTTTGGAATGTGAAGGAACAGTGCAAATTTTTACTGAGACATTATGCCCTACAAAAGTGAAAAATAGACCAAAAACAGACTGTAAAGATTACAAGCATCACAAAAATAGGTACAGTTCCGTTATCCCGACTCATTTTTTCAAGGTGTTATCATGAAATACATGCTTCAGCTTAGAGATTTTTTATAGATCTTGTAAGGACTCTCTTCTTGCCACGTATCAAAGTAAAAATTAGCACGTTTGAGGGCAGTTTGACATGTTTTTCAGAGTCATTTCCGGTGAAGTACGAGAGCACGTGAAACGGATTGAAAGCTGTTCAGGGGTCTTTTGAAAAGCAAAAATAGTTGAAGTTTATCAAAACATTTTGACAGCTTTTCAGCAACGACTTGAACAAATTCTGCTTTTCACATTGTTTCCGCCATGCGAATTTAACCGCAAAAGAATATAAAAGATGGCTTAGTGTACCTCGCTGCCGATTGTTTCGTCGTTTAGACGATAAAACAATAGTTCACTTCTGTGCTTTGAAAAAAACCTTATGTTGTTTACAAAACACGTACCCATTTTCATGATGTTAAAGCTCATTCGTGAAGCTGTTGGCTAAATATGGGTTCATTATTGGATAAAAAAACAGATTGAACTTACATTGATGCATGGCTAGATAAACTCTTGGTAAAATCTGCTAAACACTTAGATGAAATGTCAATTTTTTTTTCGACACGTGGCAGAAGGTTGACTTTCCATCCTAAGTTTTTGCCCAATTTGGTGCAAAAAGAAAAGCAAATCTTTTTTTTGAATGGTTCAGGAGATAACGGAAAAGTACCAAATCACTGTAGAGGCCATCAATCAATATCTGACTCTCAGTTTGAACATTGCACTTCTCAGTGGCACGAAACTGTTGTTTTTCTGAAATGAGAATAATGAGCTGTGAGTTCAAATGAGACCAAAGAACCATGCAACGCAACTAACTAGGCGGATTGGCAGAATGGACTCCTTTCGGATTTTATGAATTTAGATAGTGACCCTCCACACTGTAGCTCAAACCCCACCTGCCAATTCACCCGCTAAATCCTAAAAAATGCGCTTCAAAACTCCACCAGCCCGGTCAGTCAATGCAAATGGCGGCTGGTGGAGTTTGGAAGCGCATTTTTGAGGACTTAGCGCATTAATTGGGAGGTGGGATTTGGGCTACAGTTTACTTGGGGGGTCTACTATCTAAATCTAGCAAAATCCGAGAAGGATTCACTTTGCCGATCCACTGCCTTTGAGCACCTATTTTGCTATCTGTGTCAGGATCGGATAAAAAACATAAGAACTTGCTGAAGAAAGCAACCAGTTTTTCTTTACTTCGAAAAAATCGTCATTTTCACTTCCAGCAGATCAACAATTAATTTTCAATTATTTTTTCAGGAATAGAGCGTTGCTGCTCAAAAAAGCTTTGATCACTTTTCATGTAAGATTTGCGCTATGTTTATAAATCAACACCATACAAACTTACCCAAATTCCTCCTTGGTAAATGCCGGAATCGTCTGGAGTCACGCTTCGCAATACAAGTCCTTGTCTATAGAAGAGTGCTTGCCTTGGCGCTCTCGCCTGTAATTAAGTTTCACATCGCGTTCGATCCACACTGAGGGTATCATTCTGAGCATACATAAGTTATGCTCAAGCTATTTATAAATGCTGACAAAAATTTTGGTAGAACGGGGACGAGGCAGAAATTGATGTGAGAGAAAGCAGGTAGAAAAACTGTCATTTCTATCTGGATTGACGCCAGCAAGACACTGACTATCTATAGTCATAAAAAAAGACATCGGGTACGTTTGAAATTTTCTTTGGACATGAAGACAATTGAATGGACGAGAATGACAATTAGACTTCAAAGGCATTGTCCAGGTCAACTGGAGGGTGGTGTGATTTCGACGTAATGTGGAAGCACGGCTCCTGACAAATGCAAGAAACCAAGTCTGATCGGAAAAGGTGGATTTTGAAGCAAGAAAATCGCTTCGGAAAAAAGTGGCGCTACACCTAACCCCGCCTCCTTGACAAGTTTTGTCCTATTAATACATTGAGTCTATAGCATTCGCCACGTCAAAACTTGTCAAGGAGGCGGGATTAGCGTACCGCCCTTTTTTTTTTCGCTTTTTTCCGAAGTGATTTCCTCGCTTCAGAATCCACCTTTTTCGATCGGACCTGAAGTGGTGCATCAGTCAGGAGCCGTGCTCCTGCACTGCCGATAAAATCCTATTATCCCTCAGTTGACTTGAACAATGCATTCAGTCTTTCCAAGAGTGGATTAATTTCGAACTGCATATCAATAGTGGTAATCACAAGACAAAAGATGTTGTAACTGAGAAAAGCTAGTTAGTTTGAAAAATCTCTACCTGATTGGAAGCCACCGGTACGAATCCGTCACACATCGGGTTGGGACCGTCAACAGCTATCTCCAAGCAGTCAATAAAGGTCTCGTTGCCGTAAAATGGTTCATCTTGTCCATCCTTGACGACCACTGTTGTACGCCTCCACACCGATGCTCTGGCATTCATGAACACAACGTCGGACTTAGCAAGCACCATCATTTTTTCTGAGGGACGCATGAAAACTTTGCCAGACTGAAAATATAGTAAAAATTTTTTATGCATTATGCTATGGAAAGTGCAGCTAGAATTGAGGACAGATACTTACAAAGACCACTTGTTTCATCGGTCTGTGCAAACGTGGGAAATGGAATCTTCGCACCAGGTAACTTGGATATGATGCTTCACAGAAGCACAACATCATGCATGTCATGGCCACAAGTTTTGTCAGCTATAAAAAAAGCCCGATATGGATATAAATAAACGCAATCTCGCTTGCTTAGTTTGGAAACATTGTGCTCCGATTTACATCAAATTGCGATAGCCTATCCATTAAACAAAATTCTACAAAACAATTACTCACAACATTCTTTAATGGCATTTGTTGGCAATTGTGCTGTAGTTTCTCCTAAGCACTTCGAGTAAATTTTGGTTCACTGCTTGTGGCAGCCTTTGTCAGATAACTTAATCGGTAGTAATAACAAATATGCGCCCATATAAACGACACTTATGAATTAACACATTGACGACCAAGGCCTTTCACTGACCACTCAACTTTTTTCTTAATAAAGTCACTTATAATCCCTTCTACGGTATAGCTACAGTAGCACCGAGAGGAACAGAGAAAACAGTGGAGGTTATATCTAGATTCAGCGCAAAAAAAAACTCCCGGAGTGGTTTGACTCAAGATAGCAGCCATCTCGACGAAAATCGGGCCTTGACAGATTATGCGTCTCGAGCAGTCGTCAATGTGTTAATAAAGCTTGAGCTTGCGATCATACTTCTTCTGTTCAATAAGAACCAAGTAGGTCTTACTGAAATCATGTTTAGAATTACTTTTTCTAGCTCTTTCTCTTCATACATTCAGCAAAATGACGCGCTGCACATGAACTTTGATAGCTTGAGAATTTTTGGGAGAAAAGTTTCTATGTTAGTATGTTATGTTGATCCTATCGACGTCTATCTATAGAAATACATAAACGCGGATTTGTGTGCTATTTATGTACATCTTAGAAATAGAAAGAGTTTATAGGCGATATTAGTGCTGTCACTTGATGGATACCATAAGCTCAATTCTGCTTACATTTGATAACAATTTTCTTCATTTCAAAAAACCTACCAAAATCATTAGGTTGGCAAGTATCGCGCGTTGAAAACATTCAAAAGGAGCAACCGCGCGCACTATAGCGCACATTCGTTTATACTCCTATCAATAATGAACACAGAAAATTGGATAAAAACACAAAAACAGTTTTTTAAGTTCGTTTTCAACAAATTATGACTTTCCTCAAATTTTCTATAACACTGATGACTAGTTTATCTTGTCGGTGCAAGCCAGTAGTACAAAAGAACATGGAAAGAGCTAGGATAAACGATCTGAAAAAAATCTGAATTTAGAATCGTCGGCTTTTTTCGGCATATTCCAATAGGCTTCAAAGTCCCAAATTATAATATTTTCAGTTTTCCTGTACTGAGCAATTTTGGACATCTTTTCGAAAAAATTTATGAGCCTATATTGACCGCAACGACTACCCATGTCGAAGCGCCGATATCCGTCTAAATAAATTTAGAAAATAGTCAAGTGTGATGTAGAATTCCTATTACAGACAGTGACTAATGTTTTAGAAGAATCCCATCATTTGCTCTTGAATTCTGTCCAGAAAAATGAGTGCAATGAATTTTCGGGTTTGGATGTGTCATTATGAAGCTGTGTAGATTCCAGATGAAAGTAAAAGCCCTTTCTAAAAGATATTAAATAGTGCATTAAAAGACCTTCTTGATAGTATGCTAGATTTGTTTTGGGGCAGAAAGTGTGATGGAAAAAAGTTGTCCTAAAAGACCTGGGAAACGCTTCAAGATTGAATCAGCCTATCATTCTAATCACTTTCCGGATAAGGCTTAATGTAAAAAGATCCAACACCGTTAGTCCGCTATAACTGACAAATAACCAGAGTTTTCTAAATATTTTTGCTTAGTTATCCGGAAAGAAAGTGAAAAAATGGCAAAAGTAGCTTTTATACAAAGGAGATTCACAGAATGTATGTTTTGTTTCCTGTTTATTTGAGAAATCCTTTTTAAGCCGACTGATCCGCGCCAAAGTTTGCGTATTGATGCTAGGACAGCATCGATCATATAGGTTTCCCCGCTGGAAGAGTATCCATAATCTATGATCGCTTTTTTTTGAATTTTGATGGAAGGTGCATAAATTTGCTAATGCTTTTCCGAGAAAAGTTTTTTTTGCAGGAAGCGCCCTAGAACTCCCACCTGTTCACTACAGCTTTTGTAGCTTTCTAGATATTTGCCGGATGTGACCTTTCCATATTTCATTACTTGATTAATCGTGCACGAATAATTCAGTTTCGAAAAGTCATTTTTGTTCCTACGCATGCTAGCGGTTTGAAATAGAGTGCTAAGAGCGGCGATAAAGCACTCTTGCAGGCAAATTTTTCGCAACATAATTTAACTCTTAAGTTGAGTCAGTTCAGTCAAAGTGCAACTTTCAGAGAGGGTCAGTTCGGTAAACTGCAGCAATTTCAAACTTTGTTGCAAGTCTCACGTATCCTTACTACCTGACTTAAGAATAACCCTTTTGAAGAAACCCTTTTTCCATCCTCAATTTTATAAAATGCTGGGAAGTCAGAATTTGACAGCAAGGCAGCAATTGTAGAAGCTGCTCAAAAGTTCCATATCTACGAATTACAAGCGCTTGCTAATCTAACGCATTGTTTGTTCGAAATAAAGACCACATATGTCCAAGGTGCCCTTGCACAAATGGCGTAGGTATAGTGAGAAACGTTTGCCAAATATTTTTGTAATTTAATAATGGAGCAGGCTTACAAATCCAAATTCAAACTGCAACCTATAGGTTTAAAAATTGAAAGGATAAAGGATTTGGCGTCTTTAATACCCTCTGCGCTGAACGCACTAGTCGGAGAGGCTTTTGAATGCAAGCCTGTTACATGACTTGCGGGGCCAGCCAACCAACCAAGTTAGTGATTTTATCCTCCCAAATTACTCTGGTACCAGTTTATTGGCCCCGGCGGGTAGAGCGCTTGGATGGCCCAGGGGCGGGGTCGAACCTGGACCCGATCTGGCCATAGTGGCGCCTCATGACATTACGCCGCTCGTCCCCATTATAGGTTTATGTACATGCTATGTACGTAGATACCATGTAACCTTACACCATCACTATCGTCATCCCTCTGCCTCACAAACACAGCAAAGTTTTACGGTAACATCCGCACTTACCGCAAGGCTGTTAAAAAGAACTAACCATGTCGAGAGGCGTCCGACGCGTACACGCGGTAACAAAAAACTTTTCTACTATCGTTTTTATATGCCGCCAGCTGAACCTAAACTTACCTAAAGTTCGGATTTCTCATTGTTGAAGTTCACTCCAAAAACGTTAATTATGTTAGTGACGATGCGGTGTTGTACAGCTGCAACCGCTTACAATATTTGACCTCTTGCCCTTAACATCACATGTACACAGTATATTCTACAGCTATAGGTTCAATCGTGCACACGAGTTTATCTCGAAATACTTACTGTACATACATGCTTACCTTATAGCCACTAATGTTCCAGAGCTCCTTCGCTCTGCAGCTGTGTGCAGCCCGGAAAAAGCAGTAGCTAAAATGTTACACAATACTTTCCTTCCTCGCCTATTCAAATTCTCGCACGCTTTGTCAGAATTTTGAACTATAGAAGCTATAGAGCACAGTTCTGACTTGTGCAAAAATGATCCAAGTGTGTACAAGTGTGCCAAGTCTAATCGCGAAAACGATTAGACTTTGACATTCTTATAGAGAAGTTGTATATCACAACCGACCTGAACGCTTGTTCTAAATTCACCCTTTCCCCTCCCTAATCCCCTTAATTCTGCAGAAAGGACCTCATCGACTGTAAAGGTAAGATCACGCGTTTGTCACTGTGAGTCTTTCTATCACCAATGTAAATTCTATCCAGATTTGTCCACTCACGTTAGAGATAAAATCCAATAAATGTAAATCGACGATAAGAGTCAGCAGTTTCTTTGCTGTTGAAAAGTTGTTCAAAAAATTATGTCGCAACACTATACCGCGGCAGAGAAGAAAAATCAAAAAGATATTATTTTATAAAGGTAGGCAAGCTCTAACATAGGCTAGAAACATTTGCGAAAACTTTGCCCTACCTGATGAAGCCAAAAAAACCAAAGTTTCAGATACGTGAAAGATTGTAATTCCGTCCATAATCTTGAAAAGCTCCAATTCGCACAGGCATGTATGGAACATTCAAACGTCCAGTTTGCGGAATTTTTTCATAGCCAGAATACGAGAAAATGTATGCCAAAAGTGCGATTATGTTGTGTTTGGGTTTTACGATAAATTTGGTATTTCTTGAAAATCGGTGTTACACTCTTGAAGGCTCATACTATAGTATCAGAAATCTAGGAGAAGCTCACCATTGCTTTGACAAACCATGCTGAATTTCATTTTTTAATTTTAACCTTAGAAAAACTATGAAACTGTGCACAAGATTAACTGATCTAGAGAGTGTGTCCGTGAACAAGTTGGGGATTTTTAGTATTTTCCGTAAGGAGATAAAATTTTTCAAGCACAAAGGCTTTCAAAATTTGACTTCAAACTTCGCGTAAATCAAACTTATTGCGAATATCAGAGCTTCATCATGCAAAGTGTACTGCTCTATCAAAGAGGACCCTTTCACTTTTATTCGTGTTGATCATGCCGCAATAGGATAGCTAATAATGCGACATTGTTTTCGGAGCACCCTGATATTTTGTCTGTTCATTACTACATAATCTCATGCAGATCAGCATTTTAGTTTTTAATTATATACCCTCGGAAAAAGTCCTACGAATTACTCTTTGACTTAATCATAAGGGCAAAGACTGACAACTTATCTGACGTTGAAATTCAATCCAAATACTGAGGTTGTCCAAGGTTATTTATGGACACAATTTCTGTTTTGTATTTAAGACTTTAACATCTTGAAACTTTTGGCAGCCACGGGGAGATACTACTGGTCGCAGCCCTTATATTTTTCCTTCATAGATAAAATTCGCCTGAGTATAGCCACTATATGTACAAGCATCTCAATGAGTTCACAAACTTCTGTTAATTAAGTGTAGACGCCTCTGCTTGCTCTAGAACTTGCCAGTAGACTGAGCCGAGTCGCTCTCATTCTTGAAAAGAAATCCTTCCATTATCATGT